GCGTACCGGCGCTGAAAATATAAATTACAAATTCCAAATCAATACGCAAAACATATAATTAAGGAGCAGATATGATTACTCGGGCACGTATTATATTTGCCTGACGAGTGAGAATCCGGCGTAGATCCACCATCAAAGACAATGGTAGAAATTGGTAAAAAGTACATAGGGAGTATCAATATTTATAGGATAGTTGCTATGCTACTGCATACTTTCATTACCCGCGCTGGAGATGGGTGTGATTATTGCTCGGCTACCTGAGTCCGTGGCACTGGTGTTAAACTATGCATTCACCCGTGCGCTCCCCAAGCGATGAATTGCTTTGTCCAGTCTGAGCCTCAGCATGGAATATGGGCTGAGTAAGACATTGCACCTTTTATAGACTGTTGGCCCGTGAAAAATCACTCAAGTAACCAGCGACTCACATGATTTTTATGACCACTGATGGTGGAACATTCAGTTATTGGGGTGTCTGCAAAGTCACTTGCTGAGGGTAGAATTTTAGGCCCCAAACACGTGTTATGATAAACAGAATTTTCATATTTAATTAGCCACATTGAGCTCCACGCTAGACATCGTTCGGTCATGGAGTTAGAGGAGGAATAAATGCATTTGAGATTGTTTAACTCTCGATTAAATATTACCAATCTTAACAAAGACGAAAGTGCACTAAGCACTGTACCTTGTACGGCACCGCTTGCAATAAGGTCTCAGTTGGAATGAAGATTCCACTAGGATTTTTTGTTTTTTAAAAGACAGCATGACCTAATAAACTCCATAATGTGACTACAAAGTCCTGGATCCTCTATTTTAACTACAAGTCGCTTACGTGGCACGCTATCGAAGGCTTTATTACAATAAGAATAAATATCGAAAACCGATAGATGATAATTGCGAAAAGAAATTATTCGACTTAGAATAGACTTGTCTCACAAAAGCGGTCAGGCAAAAGCCACGTTGGAAAGAGCAAAACTTTGATTTGTATTGCAAAAATCGCTACTTTATATGGCTATTAATTTTTCAAACAATTTAGCCGCGAGTAGACTTTCGCTCTCGTTATACAACGACTGAAAGCGTTGCGAGATCCAACGTGCGATATGGTAGTCAATTTGCCATTCATCAGGTCGAAGCCTCCCCGCCTCC